CGCCGGTGACCCCCCCCCCCCTGTGCTCCAAGTGGAGCGTCATTGCAGCAGCACAAAGCGATTTTCCAAGTGCCTCACCCTTTAGAGTTCTCGAGGTCTCCCTTCCAATATCGCCTGCTCTTGCTTCCACCTCCTTGTGGGGCTCGGAGTTTCCACACCGAAATTCGTTGTGGTGCGTAAGGCTCGCCAAGCAGCTCCTTATTCGGGCTCCCAGGCTTCTGGTCCAATACCTCCTTTTTGACTCTCACGGCTTCGGCTTTCAATGTCGAGCGCGTCTCTATCTCGACTCTCGCAACTTCGCGGACCGGTTGAGGAGCATTGTCGCATTCTGCACACAAGTTGCGGGAAGGTTAAGTTAACCACCCCAGACAGCCGTATGAGCCCATACTCAACGTATCATCCAGACCGCAATCCCGTCCGCCAATGAGTGAGGTCAAAACCAACTATATACCAACACATTGCCACAAGGATTGCCATCCACCTAGCAAACGACCTGCAACGAACCGACAGAAACAGTAACAGAGTGGGGTTCCTGTGGATCGGTTGCATCCATCTCCAAGTCTGCCTGTCCTGTGTCTCACAGGAAGCGACAACTATGGCAGAACGATGCACAACGGACAGCAAGCTAAAGCAGCGGAAGAATGCAGCAGAACTACCGTTGGAGAAAGTTGGCACACAGGCACAACATTTTGCGCGGTTCATCCAGCCTGAACCCATGCGCCGGAGTGCCATGTCAGCTGCCTGAGTGCAACTTCCGCTTTAACGCACCAGCACTGCACCAGCGCAGGTGACATCAGGTGATTCGGATTCCCCCCAAGGGCCCAAGGGCTCCGGGCCAGGCTCCTGCGAGCAGCAATGCCTGAAAGCGAACAAGGGACTGACGCGTCGATCAGATCATCAGGCGATCAGGCAAGGCCACCCGAGGTACGACGTGTGAAAGGCCCCGAGCAGCACCGCTGTTCCTTCCGAAGCAAGCAGAAACTGTTCGTCTGATTCTGTGATTGTGGCCAATGTGCCCAATGTGCCCCTCTGGAAGAGCCTGGAAGGTCGGGCCATGTGCACGTCCCACGCAGTTCTCCCTACCCTAGCTTCTCCTTGAGCTGAAAACTTGCTTCAGACACCCGCAGACGTGCAATTACAGGCTCCCAATCACAAACGACCAGTCAAGCAATTGAAACATCACCACTCTGGCTCCTGCACCTTGTAGTAGGCGCCAGCATTCGCATCTTGCTTCATTTCATGAACCCGCTCCAAAGCCAGGTCAACCTCACAACACGGCATGGTCAGGGTGGTGCAAGATCTCGAGCTTCGGAAGGAAAGCAAGCCAGGGCGGCGGTGGGCAAATAGGTGCGGAAGCTGGCACGGTTCAGAGGCTGCCCAAGCTTGACCAAGTCCATGTGAGCACCAAATAAATGGTTGTGGACCTGCAGACTTGCAGCAACCATGCCATTACCGGCAGAGCAAAATCAGACTGATTTGAGCCTCTGGACCATTTATTCAACAGATAGTCGAACCGAGAAGCAATGGAAGCCACAGCAGCTACCAAAACCACCCATCCAACCGTCAGTAAAAAAATCATTTCATGACGTTTCTCAAGGGCTGGGCGTGGCAGGGTCGGGCAGCTTAGATGGTGTGCGCGGAGCAGCTCTGTCTAGAACAAGTCACTGTGACCAGCAACGTGCTTAAGCTCGTTATTAGCATTTAAAAGCTGCGAGTAGTTGCTGACCACTGGACGGTTCCTTCTGCCCAGTGTCATCACAAAGCCTCCATGACCCCAAGGAGGTCAAAGGCATCCTTTTGAGCCTCGCAACTACGCATTTTACGCTGATGCCACTGATGCGAACAATGCCCTGTCTTTGGGCCTCAATCTGGTACGACCGCGCAAAACTTGCAATGGCTTCCGGAATCCGCCCCCTGGTGAAAGGCCGTGCATGTCTGCGACATTCTGCGACTGCTTGCATGATTCTGCAGATTGTATGGGAGGCCTGCGCTTTTGTGCTTCCCCAAGACCACGCAATGCTGATGCAGTCAACGGGCTGTCGTCACCACAAGTGACCTCAATCTCGCGCCACAGTTTCAGTTCTCATTGCAGCACGACAGCGCGGAAGGCGGCCTCAAACAAAGCGACGTTCTCTTCTTCACGGACGATGGCTTCATCCTCGCTCAGTGATGCTCGCGGCATCTAGATTCGAGCTCATGATTGGACAAAACCATGGAGGTGCAACATGGTATGTTTTACATTTTGGATGGACAGCGTGCGTGCAAGGTCCGATGGAAGCGGCAGAAATTCTGCAGTGAAGGCTTGCCGGCACAATTACCACACCCAGAAAGCACTGTCGGATTATCGGGATACAATACAGATAGCATAACTTTATTGTCGCGAGACAAGAGCTGCATACCGCGGCTCTTGTGTTGAGGCTACAAGTAACCTATGCTCATGCTACTCCTATAGGCTATGCTTCGCAACATTTGCATGTTGCATGTGTTCATGTATTTGGAAGCTCACAGCTGTCCAGTGAGCTCTGCATTTTGTTTGCATGTGGGCCTTCGGAATGCCTCATCTTGATCGAAGAAGATACGAGCAACATTTAAAACAAAAGCTCGCGCCACTGCCTGTGCACCCAGCGCACCTCCATTTCCTGTCTTTTCATTTCGTCGGCCTCCTCTGGCTCAGGATATAACTGCCCAATGACTGACAATGCCCGTGCAAGAAAGCATCGACGCTTGCATTGACATTGTGACGTTCCTGTAGGGCTTAGGCTTCACACCTGCCGAGGTTTCGTGAACAGAACTACCATAAGCCATAGAACTTCAAGCAGCTCCTCCGAAACAGGGCTCTCTCCTGCAAGGCCAGCTTCAGCAGGATCTTTGCAATGGACATCCCGGCTTTGGCAACCAGTGAAGAGGGCCTCAGTCACAATGCCAATGTAACTCAGAAGTGCAACTGCCATGATGCAGCCCTGGGCTGCTGCTTGCCGCCTGCCCGCTGCCGAAACAGATCCTACGTCTGGAGCAAGGCTGAAGGATGAGCGCACGCTTCCCCCAGGCCTGTGATTGCCTCACGGAGGAAAGGGCCTGCAAGAGATGTGCTGTTGTTGCTGGACCCCAGAAACAGATGGTGCCCCGTCTGCAGGTCCTGTTCAAACCGGCCCAAGCGGTCCTCGATCAACCCAAGGCCGAGCAGGATGCCTGCCACGAGAGATTTCGAGCACCATAGCCTGTGCCTACCCATCACCGAGCCAAAACCTCTGTTCAACCAGCTGTGCTTCGCGAGGCTGACTCAAGCAACGTTTGCCGGCTTGCTCAATGCGGGATGTTTTCGAGATGGAGGATTGACCAAGTCGGAATGCGCACCAGAGCCCAACACCCCGCCAAGTTTTCGCGGAAGGCTGAGCAGTGGATCAGGATTGATGAAAGCAGTTGCCGGGATAATTGCGACTGACGCGCGGATCCTGCAAGTTTACGGCCCAGCTGATCCTTTCAGAATTCATGCCTTCCACACCACTCTTCTGCAATTGCACGTGGCTTTCTATACATCGGGAGAAGTAGGTCGGGTTACCTGGGCTGCAGCACGACTCGGGGTTAGAGTGCTGTCTGTACGACATCCGGAAAGCACGACTTGAGAACGTGCTCGGACTTCAAGCGCGCATGCTCTAAAGCCCGAGCCACGGCCACTCGCATCGACGCGGCGTCTGGCACAGAGACTGCTAATCCTTCCTTCCACCCGCTGTGCCGAGAAAGTACATTTCCAAATCGCCAAGTCTGTCCCGATCATGTCGTGACTGTTGCTTATTATATGAGTCTATATGATCTCTCTTGTCTTCCTGGGCTTCTTGAGTTTCGTGTCCACCGTGATCTCTTGGACATGCGGAAGCTGAAGCTTTTCCGACCACCGCCGCTGCGTGACACGGGCTGCAATGGATTGCAATGGCAAATGCCAAAGACAAATCTCGAGATCCGGAGTGGAAATTCCGCAATCGAGTTCGCCTGCTCGGTCGCCTGTCTTCTTGCCCATCTCCTCCTCTTTGTCCAGGCACAGCAGAGCTCGCGTGAAGTATTCCGACGCCTGTCAGAGCTGACTAATCAAACTTGCAGAAGAGCCTCCAATTTGCCTTGTCAAAGTTGCCCATGGAGCTGTATGTGTGGCCCATGTTTTCGCACAAGGCCGCACTGCAGCCTACCAGGTCCTCGCATTGCAAACTCTGCTGCTCTGCTGCTTCGGTTCGTCGAGCACATGTTAGGGAGTTGAGGTACGAGGTGACGCTAGGTCGATGAGCAGGCAGAATCTGCATAGATGAAACCTCAAGGTAGGATAGGGAACGGAAGAGGTCTACCTTAGTGTCATTCAGGGATGGATTCGAACAGAATATTCCGCCGTGCTTACTTCCACTGGTAGAAGAGTGCTGGCCAAAGTGGCCAGACGGGGCAAATTCAGTTTAGGGCTCTTTGCACCCATTGTCTCTTGGTTCTGCTTCGTGTGCTGTGCAGTTTGTCCCCCATCTGAATCTGAAAGATGTCCTCAATTTCGTGAAAGAGCTTGACTGCGTCGTTGAACTGCGACTTCTTCCATAAGGTGAACGCCAGAGCCTGTGCAAATAATTGCAAGTAGCGCTTGACTCACGCAGTGCTGACACATTGCGGCAACATTCTGCAAGCTCATGGCACGCTGATGGCATACATCTTTACCGAAGTCAGCCCAACCATGCCGGAAGTGCCTGAACACCTTTCACGTGAAAGTCGCCTGTGCTGGTGGCTGGTGCATCACTCATCGCAGAATCATAGCTCCTGAGCCTAAGCAGCTTCAATGCCTGAGTTGCACGGATCAGCACAAACGGGGGGGAGGCCTCCTCTGCTGCGGCATATGGGCACAATCTCCGGAAGCACCTGGTTTGCTTCGAAGAGATCGGAAGCAGCCATCCCCTTGTGGAGCACAAGTGTTCCGCAGCGGGTTTCGCACAAGCCAGTTCTTCAAACATGCCGACGGCTCACGGTTGTTGAAATATGTAAATGAAGAGTGCCACCCATGGAATGCCGCGGTGAGCAAAGAGCACGGGGTGGCATGCGCTCTGTGCAAACGTCGCAACCACGAGAAATCTCACGCGCAGCAGGTGCTCTCCGTGGTCTGTTGGTTGCTGGCAGTCACGACAGCCATTGAACTTTCCCGCGACACCTAGAGATTGGATGCATGTCCAGCTGCAGATGCCCTGTCGCCCTGTTCTCAGAAGCGCAAGCCCCTTATCTCCTTGCAACGGCCGATGACACTGTATTCCTCAGTGCGGGCGGGGGCATGCACTGCAGACGGGATCGGGGAGTTGCTCACTGAGAGGGGGTGGAAAGCCCAGCATGGATTTTAGGCCAGGTTCCGCAATGCCTGAGAGCTTCACACATGCAGACACTGCACTCCGCACACAGACTTCACAGCTTGCCTCCATGCACTTGTTGAGCCGATAGAGCTGGATCCACATATCGAACAACTGCGCAGGCTGTCACTTATCGGTGAGTGCAGCTCCACACAATTCCGCACACGAGTCGAATTTGATGCGAATTTGTGGATTCCTTGAAGAAAGTGTGCAAGGTCGTCTCATTGTCCAGCCCATGCTCAACTCTCTGCTCCTGGATCTCTTGAATTTCACAGGATGCGCAAATGCACCGCGTCGAGTGCTCTGTCCGCGAAGAGCTTCTCGAGTCTAGCCTCCTCCTTGAAACTCGGACGGACTTGAAAAACAGAGTGCTAAAAGGCAGTAGCAGGCCTTGATTTGCAACTCGGCAAGTTCCTCAAGGGGTGCATCGCCACCGTCGCCTTTATCCTGGCAGCCCGTGCGACTGATGGCAGTGTCTGAATGTATCGAGCTCATGCGTTTGGCCAAAACCTGCAGAGCACAACATCACGCGCCTGAGGATCAAGAGCAAGTGAGGAGCGGCAATGGTCGGGGAAATGAAGCCAGGCATTAATTAAATTATGAGTTCTAGCCCCCACGTCGACGCAAAGGTAAATGCGCTATTCTACTGTCATGAGTCATGAGCTTCAACACGAGCGGCTAGGCGGCTAATTAGCCTTTCATCCGCCCGCCCGGCCTGTGCAGCGTCATCCGGCTGCGACATGACTGGAGTTTATCTTCCTTTCTCTTGTGTGCCGCTGTCGTGCTGTCTCTGCCGAAGCGTGGCTTTCTCCTATGGCCTGAGCTGACTTGTGCACCCACGTCAACTCTCCTTAGCCTTGCAATTTGGAATCCATTCGGGCCAATCCCGAGAATCACAAAACGAGTCATCTTCAGACAAGCGTGTGCAGCACATGCATCAGCTGGCGATGCATCACTCAGCGTTCATGTTTCCGGTTCACACATCTTGAGCGATCACCAATCTCCCAACACATCTGAGCTGCAACCGACTAATTTCTGGCGGATTGGCATGCTTCTCCCAATGCGTGCCACAGATATCGAAAATTACGCTTTAAGACCCGAGACAAATGAAAGCTGACCAAGTCACTCCGGGGAGTTCCGGGACACCTATGGGCGTGCGCCACAGATTAAAAGTTCCAAGGTCTAGTGGCTCGAATCGCGAAAAGTTTGCCGCTTTTGCTTGGTATATTCTGAAGCACATAGGACATGATGGGAACCTTGGGGGGGAAGCAAGGTTGCCCAAGAGCTGACCTTTGTCGGGGTTGGGTGCTATTTGGTGGGCCTTAACGCCTTTGCAAGTACAACTGGCGTGCCGAACAAATGGAGCATTAAGAAGACTGTCGAAGTAACCTCTGCGGCATGGTTCAGTATGCAATGAAAACGATCGCCTGTCCTAGGAGTGTGAAGCGTCTTGCTCGGGGAACAGCTGCTAGCAATTATCGGTCCCACCGTCGCTGTCGTCCACCCGTTTGTAACTAGTAACACTGTGGCCGCAGATCAGCCTAACCTGTGATGAAGACGGCTTCGCTGTCCTTCATCTTGTTGCCTGCTTTGCAGGACATAATGTGAAACCTACATACCTACCTACCCTCAAACAATCGTCGTTTGAGCTGCGCATTCCTGAGTAGACTGGCAGGCGTAGGTAGACGCGGTCTATCGTTGCAAGATGCATGAAGGAATGTGGCCCAATTTTCAAAGTTCCCCAGGAATCTCGAGATATCTGGTGTCCACTCCGGTCAATGCGATACGGCGAGTCTGTCGTCCATTGACTTGAATGGCAAGCACCGGGCCAAAAGTCTGGATTCAGCGAGATTTCACGTGAATGCCTCCAACGTTTTTCTTTGGACTGCTTTGCTGGGACACCGTCAGCTATACGGGGTCGCATTTCACTCAAGAGAGACTTCTACGTACGTGTGCGCACGATGCCCATTCACACTCTTCAAAAGCTGCCGTACTTTCACCGACGGAGGCTACAAGGATGCAAACGTCACAAATCAACTCCTGTCATAATGACAGTCAACACAGCTATGTCAGGTCAACAACACGAGGCCATCCTCGCACCTCCATCCTAATCCCTCGGTGCAGACCCACTCACCAGTCACTCACCCCACTGCCCCCACCCATCCCTCACTGCAGCACTTTCTGCAGTGCTGTCTCCACCCACTGCAGGCACCGAAGCATGAACCTGGATCGACACGACTGGCTCCGGGACTTGTCATACATGAAGAGCAACTACTGCAACTGAATCACGTCTCGCG